ACTTATGAGTACGGCTTTGCTATCCGAGGGAATATTCCTAGCTGCCCGGGAGGGTAGTGGGTATAGACAACAACAAGTACGACAATGATAATGACGACAACAATGACAGCAACGAAGGTAATGCTAACGGCAACAGGGATAGGGAGAGGGCAAGGAGTAGAGACGGTAGGAACAATCGGGATGACGGGGATAATAAACCTCTTAGAATAGAATAGACCTAATATGAGTACTTCTCCGCTCGGCTAATTCGAAGTATGCGCCCGGACAACAAAACTCTACGGGTGAATGTTTGAGTCAGGCCCGGCAATGTGTACGATAAGATGGAACTACACCCTCGATTTCAGCCATCTCATATTGCTCTTCTGCTGGTCATCTGATAAGGTACTGAAAGTGCTAAGGATTCAACTGCTATGAAGATCATTGGGATGAATCGCAACATATGTGGCTGCAGACCTTGAACAAAGGACTTTGTCTTCTAGTCTTCATTGTATTGTCGCCAATTTCAATTTCAGAGTGTTTTCACTCGTTACAAGCATGAGCCTTAACAACGGATGACCACTGCCAATACCTTACTTTTGAGCAACGGCTATCCTCCACCATGATGGTGTTAACTCGACTACGAGACCTCCGAGTGTATTATACTGATATCTCATAAGGGACATTAAAATCTTTGGCTAGGCACCGGGAGTTTGAGTACCCATTTCTACGGTTTTGTCGCCGTTGTTAACAACGACAGAGTGGATCAGATTTGACAAGCAACTTCTGCTTTTCTTCTCAAGCGCAACTTCTTCCTGTCACTCTGAGGGCCGTGAGAGAAAGGACAAGAGGACAAATTCCGGCGTGGAAGAGGGGTAGCAACGTTCGGTTGCTTTGATAAATATTGCGTTCCTATGTACGTGCCTTTGAATATGTTCAGTATCCCCGTCCCACATTTGTACAATTCAATTCTCTTTCTGTCCATCCGAGTCAGATGAAGTTGCTGAAGCGCTCCAGGCTGACCTTCAAACGCGTTTGGCCAGTATGATCAATCCTCTCAACCGCAAGTAGAGGTACAACCAACGTGAGGGTGGTCGTCGGGGCAAGTGCACCTGAGCCACAGGAACTTATCCTTGCATGAGCCCATGATGCAAGCGCCAGCGTCGTTTGTGCAGGCCGTTCCCTTGGAGTGCAGGGTGAAAGGTTGACAGGTCTTCGTGATGGCTGTGACGAAGCCAGCAGCATAGAGACCGGAGAGAATGAGTGACAGCTTCATTATCTATCTTTGGGTTAGTTCAACATAGGTTACAAGTCCAGAGGAGCAACTTACGACTGAAGAGGCTTTCGTTGATGACCTATTCAATACGGATTGTAGAATTGAGTTGAAAGATGGATGCTCGTACAGATGAGCAATCAAAGTAGAGGCGGGAAAGAGTTGGCTTAAATTCACAACGGGGCTGGCAAAACCAAGAACGGTCATCAGTTGTCCAGGACCATTTCTTCACAGTGGAACCCATTGAAGTCCCCGTGAATGAAGCGGCATGACAAGACTTGTGTGATCTTGACAGTCACAGTCAACCTTACCATCGTGCCTAGTTGCCGGTTTGCCGAATGCCACGAACTGTGGGCCCTTGCGAAGCTTTGATCTTCTTAATAAAGTGCAAGCTATCATCTGAAATATATGGGTTGCGGACCACTAATGTAACCTAACTCTATGTGCCCGCACTTGACCAAATCGCACATCGACGTTTCTGTCAGATGGATTTGGTACGCCATTCTCAGCTATATACTATCTCGTGACTAATGAAGCACATCTCCTATCAAGACCACATTCTTGCAAGATTGAGTATGAAAGACACATGATCAGGTAGTTCTCTGTATTCTGCGTCCGTTGACATGACCCCTATGTGGTTTAGTTTCCTGAAAAGTGGATAAGTTTGGCTGATCGCCGCAGCTCTTGCTTTGTGGTGCGGCTGATTGTCCTGACTCGCTCGTAATATGTATACGAACGATTCCCACATTCTTTGAAGGTCCGGTCCGTTTCAAATAGCATAGTTGTGATGCAGATCTGCTGACATTTGGGTCTGGAAATAAGCAATCCTATAGCTTAAAACCTTACTTTGGGCGTTACCGGTCATGCGGGCAGCTCTGCCAGCCCCAAAAGCCGGCGAAAATGACAAAGTTCAGTCCCGAGTGCGCGGACTTCGTTCACATCTTATTGTCCGAAGCTGTCAAGACGTTGAGAGGCCTGTCCGCTGTCGGGATGCCCTGACACACGCGTAGGATTTGGACGCCGTTGCAGGCGGATGGGCCCTGGCTCTTGATTCAGGCTCACGGCGAGCTGTATGTTAGTCAGCCTTCTCGAACTCGGTAGACTACCGTAAGAAAAAGCTTGTTTTATTAGATCCCGCAACCAGTGACGTAACGGGCCCTGCACTCCAGCTATTATTATCTCGGCATAGGTAGCCTGAGTCCGAAAGCGAATTTACTCGGACCACAATCGCGTTTGCCTCGTGGGCGACCAAAACCATCCAGAATTCATGACACTCGACACTCTCCTTGCCTGGCCTTTAGAAAGTCCAATTCTCTTGCATCCATTTATCGCCAACCTCTCTCAGCGACACAGTATAGATACTTACTGCAGTCCGTTGGGTCTTATATTGAACCTTACAACATGTGAACAAATGTAATTTTCCAACCAGGTTCCGATTGCGCACGTACAAACATAACAGTGGACCATTTGTCAGCTACTTCGCGGTGCGCGGCCGCCATCATCACACACCAGGACTCTCATCAGCGCCAGCCACAAGTGCGAGTTCACACCCTAGAAAACGCATGCTCGTTACGCTGTCTTTTAGCATGATTGAGGTTGTGATCTTCATCACCTCCTCATCTACGACGCGTTGCCTGATGACACGCTCCCATCGCTGCCAGCGCCTTATATTGGCTACGCACAGCTGTAGTATGATAGCGCAAAGAAGTAACTTCAGGCCGTAGCGGTTGTGTCGCCGAGTTCGTGTCTTCGGAAGATTGGACGTATCGTCTTTTTGCAAAGGCTATGATGTAGTGGCACTGTCTTTCCGGAGCTGTCAATTACCTGGCTACGATGCCAGCCCCGAAGCCCAATAACTGACACAAGCCATTCCACCTGATAGGGATGAAGATACTAGCAAGCCAGTTCTGGATGCTGGATTCTGGGGTTGATCTGTTGAGGAAGTTGATGGCCCACCCAGATTAGGATTTCTCAGTAGGGGAGAAAGCGCCCGAACTCGGCCAATGCGCCGTCCAATAGCATCGCTATATAAGTAGCCAGGAGCTTGGGTTGGTCTAAGATCCGGAATCTCCACAACGGCCGGCCCGCCACGAGCGCTGCAACGTTGTACTCCGGGGCCGGTGACTCTCCGCTGTTCCGGACCCGGCACTCAACAGCCGGGAGTGAGAACTGTTCAACAGCGCCACAGCCATGCCAACACAAGACACGCAGTTCATCAAGCACGTTAGACACACTCAGGAGATAATTACGTAGACGCACCTGGGCAAATATAGCAGCAATGGGAATAGAATTCTTTGCATCCTGCGCACAACCATTAGCATATCCACGGCTCTAAGATTTTCACAGTCAATCTTGAGGCAAGTAGGGGAGACTCCAAGAACACCCGCCGCGGGATCTTCAATTGAGTTGGTTGGCCATCATCTTTCTGGAAACCCGGTGCTAAGGTACTGGATCAATGCAACGACCGGTCGCCCGTTCATCATCAGCGCTCTTGAAAGGCACCGCACAGACAGGATCAGCGCAAACGGAGCGGATCTCAGCCAGGAGATGCATCGAAGGACTCTTTTTGGCCAACCGAAAGAAACGGCGCTGAACTAAGATGCCCATCACAGTGACCATTCAATACCCGTATTCTGTTTCCCGTCACGGCTTCCCCATGGGGTTTGAGACAACTCGCGTCGTCGATCTGGCTTCGAGTCATTTCGCCCCTCCTCGGCCCGAACGCCGGAGGCGGCTTCAGATGCCCCAACCGAACAAAAAGGCAGCAAACGTCGATGGCAAAAAAGGAATTACCAAGTCCGACGTTTGGAAACGTTTGCCGTTCGCCCGGTTTGTAAGCTGACTGAGCGACAGCCGGAGGGCTTGCACCTTCCTGCGCCGGATTGCCGTAAACGGAAACCCGAGGCTGAAGAGGCAAAAAAGAGGTGCCTGGTGTCACATGGACTGACATGAGATGGGTGTGCCGTTGGTTGGCACGGAGAGACACATTGAGTTCAGGGGAGCAGGGGCAAATAGCCTGGGGTATGCGGGGTAGGGCTCATGGAGGTGGTCCTCCGGGGAAATGTGCGGCTCGGTGGTTCGGACTGCACTCCGCGTTCGGGGGCGAGACATGCAGGGCATGTTGGCTAGAAGGGCCCAATGTGTTGGTCCATCGAGGAGTTTGTGAGCGATAGGCAACCCGAAGTGTCCGAAGGCGCATTGGGAATCGAGACAATGTCTACGGTACGTGGACCATTTGCTCCTCAGAGACAGATGCGCCTGCAGTTGCATCGTTGTCGACTCATGGATGATCCGATGGCATACGGCCGATGTCACGGTCTGTTCAACCTAGTTGTGCATATTTCGCTAAATGCAGGGACCGGACTTTTAGAAGTCTAGACTTTCGCAAAAGCAATGTCCGCCGCGTGTGCATATCAGATCAGGTTTCATATTTTCTTTTCGGGAAGCAGGAGCCAAGTTTATCAACGAACCGCGGTGTTATCATTAACATCTGCGTGTGGTATCTAATGCGTAGTGAACTCTAGTTCAATCTAGTGGTATCTCAACAATGCGTAGAGCCCAACAGCCCTATCAAAGAGAAAAGAAAATGACACTTGGTATTATATCGTGCCCAACATGAGAAAGCCGACCAAATTGGTTCGGCGAGGGCATAAACTCGTAGCGATGCGCCATCGCTTGCGTTCGTCGCGCGGCCCCTGGCCGAGCAGCTGTAGAGGTTTCCCTACCAGGGGGACCGGCCCAAAGAAGCGATTTAAATCTTCTCCGACTTCTCGACGTTCTGCGTCTCCTCATCCTGGCGGGTCCAGATGCCGCCCTGGGCGCTGTTGACGGAGTCGCCGCTGCTGCCCTCGCCACGGTTCTCGCGGGTGGTGGCGCGGCCCTCGTTCTCCTTGACGTCGTCGTAGTGGATGAGGAGCTCGCCGTTCTTGCCGTAGCGGTGGGGCTCGGTGCGGGCAACGTCGACGACGGTGAAGGCGCCCTTCCAGCCGCTGCCGGTCTTGGCGAAGATCGAGTCCATTTCCTCGAGGGAGCGGTAGGCGGTCTCGGGGAAGAAGAAGTAGACGCAGGGGACGATGAAGGCGTTGATGACGGCGAAGATGGTGTAGGTGTGGTGCTTGATGGTGTCGAAAGCGACGGGAGTGATCATGACGACCTGGTTCAGTTAGTGTTAAAGCTCGAGAGGCACTTTGGGAGGACAGACTTACCATGAAGTTGAAGATCCAGTTGGCGGAGGTGGAGAGAGCGTTGGCAGGGGCGCGAATGCGGAGGGGAACAATCTCGGCAGGGTACAGCCAGGTCATGCCGAGCCAGCCAACAGCGAAGAAGGTGTTGAAAACGAACAGGAAGACAATGCCAGTGACCTGGAAAGGAAAGGTATCCCGGGAGTTGACACCAGCAAGAACGGCCATGGTAACGGCCTGGCCCACGGCACCAAAAAGCATAAGCTTGCGACGGCCGACACGCTCAACGAGGAAGACAGCAGGCCAGGAAGCGATGAAATACTCGGTACCGTTGAGAGCGGCAAGAAGGTGGGACATGAAGCGAGACATGCCAAGTCCAGAGTAGATGACAGCAGCGTAGTAGGTGATGAGGTTGATACCGCAAATCTGCTGGAACATCTGGTTGACGTAGGCGATGACAGTGCGGTGGAAGTTGCGGTTCTTGTCCATGGTGAAGAGGTCGGCGAAACTGCCCTTGGACATCTCCTCGACAGTCTCCTTCATGACCTTGTACTCGTTCTCGACGTAGTCATCATCCAGAGGCAAGTCGGCGATGGCAGCAATGACTTCCTTGGATTCCTCGTGGCGGTCCTTGAGAATAAGCCAGCGGGGAGACTCCGGGAGGTTCCAGACGAAGGCGAGAATGAAGATGCAGAAAGCGATCTGGAGCGCCAGAGGGAAGCGCCATGCGACAGAGCCCGGAGCGAAAGACATGCCCAGATCGATCCAGTAGGAAATCATGATACCGCCGCTGATGAGGGCACCCTCAATCATGACCAGCTTACCACGCTTGTGAGCACTGCAAGTTTCTGATTGCCATGTTGGTACTGTTGACGTGTTGCCGCCGTTTCCGAGTCCAGTGATGATACGTCCGATGATGAAGTGGGGGAGAGTCATAGCAGAAGCCTGAAGAGCGGCGCCGATGATCATGATAGAAGTACCGAGGATAATCATGCGCTTGCGACCGAGGGGGTTACCGATGAAGATGGTGATGATGGCGCCGATGAAGCAGCCGAGGTTGTAGGAAGCGACGGCGATACCCTGGGCGGTAGCACGCTCGCTCTTGAGAGCTCTGCTAATGCCGTCGGCTTCGGGGTCGATGTCGGGGAACTGAGACTGGAAGGCGGGCAGGGTGAGAATACCACCAGTGACACCCTGGTCTGGAGGAGCAATGTCAGTATGTTGTCTCTGTGTCTGTGGAGGTGTAAGGCCTACCGTATCCGAAAAGCAGGAAATCACATCCGGCGATGATACTGATCGCCCAGTTGAGGCTCTTGCCTCGAAGGCCGAAGTAGTTACCCATCTTGAAGACTCTTTTCACAGCTAGCAGTGTCTGAAAGTGGTATTACCAGACGGTGTCGCAAGCTGTCGGGTGGTCGATCGAGGAATGAATCCAGGTGCTCGGGCTGAGATGTTACAATGACAAGAAACTCCTCGAACGAAGCGGCGCGACACGTCCTTTTAGATGAAAATCGAGTTCTGCCGTTCCAGGGTAAAGATCGGCAACGTCAGCGTGCCAGAGGGAGTGAACTCTCTCCCACCTTGCAGTCGTACAATAACACATCCGACCTACTCGTGCCAGCCTCGGACCCTGGCGCCGTCTGTTTACACCCAACCCAAGAACCCCAGCCAACCAATCCCCAGCCGTCCCCCAAAGACATGCCCCGATTTCCCCCAATCCCCGTACGATCCAAGATCCCAATGGAGGGTCCCTCCTGGAGGTGGTGGAGTTGTCTCCGACCCGGAGGGGGAAGGGGGGTGAAAGAACTCCCCACCCTTGGGATCCACGGGGATGGGCAAGGTTGGAGGTACACCACACTGGTACGCGAGAGTGGGAGGAGAAAGTTGGGAACGGGGGCATGTCGTCAGGCAGGCCAAGACGCCGGCACGAAAGACATGGGCCCGCGCTGGGCCAATACGGCACGAGGACGGGCGCAAGACGTTGCAATACGGTGGTCTCACCGCCGCGACGCGCCCGTGGAGAACTCCTCATGCCTCTCTTCTGCACGGCAGAATTCGGAGAGACACCGATGCGGTAAGAGAGCCAGGCAGAGTGCGCAAACACGCATGATTCGCTGTCCGACCGACGAAGCGGAGCTGGAGGCTTCAATTGAGGACCCAGAAGAGCCGCAGCCATGTCCATTATCGTACATTATCGGTGGATCTGAGATGGAGATGCGCTGGAGAAAACGACGTCATACCTGAAATCTCTGATAGAGACCGATAAGTAGTGCAGGCTGACGGGTACCTTTTCGGGGGCACCTTTGTGCATGTTTGTATTAGTTAGGTTGCCTGTGTGCCATACAGTTACATTCAGTTGGTCCATCGGTTCATTGCAGTGGCCAGTCTGAGCGTTGAATACGCCGCCGCCGCCCACATATGCGAGTCAGGGGGCCCTGTGCGAACCCTGCGGTCACCCTGCCCGAAGTGGCTGTTGAAAGAAAGAAGCGCCGAGCCGACGAGGCTCTCGACACTACGAGGGACGCGGCAGGGTGGTAGCGTAGCCGCTGAGAGCGCTTGCAGCTGCGGATTCTGACTCTATGCCCATTTCGCGCGGCCATCTTTGCTGCCTCTCTTTGGCCCTGCTCGAGATTTAAGTTGGACCCAGCCGTGGGGAACGGCGACAGAACCAGGTTTCAAGTTGAAATACTCGCACGCGATTTGTCAACGTCGGCAGTTGTTGGTGACGACCTTTGACGGGGTGGATGGTGGTAGGTGGAGTGTATGACGTATTGGTTCGGACGAAATTAGTGTCGAGAAAGGCGCCCTTTGATTGTCACGATTGCTATTTTCTCAGCAGCTATTTTTGCAGACATTGTTAACATGAAGTTGAATGTCAGCTCGATGCCATGGCTCGTCAAAATGCTTGACTCGTAGCTAAGACAACGAGACCCAAATCGCCCAGAACGACAAGAGATATTGATGGAAACGGCTCACTTGGCCAAATTGCTTGTGTTTGGGTCCGTCGTGGATTCTCATCCTTCACTGTCTCTTGGACTCTTGGAGACTCCAAAATATTTGCGGCTAACTGTGGGGTTTTTAGTGGGATCAACATTCCGATCTAACCAGTCCTAAGCAGTCCTAAACAGTCGTTGGAATGACGTCGTCGGAGAAGGAGAATTTTCACCGGGCTCGGCATCTCCTAAAGCGGTAATCCGAGCAGCCGCGCGAGGCGACGTCCGGCGGCCAAGCCAATGATGAGCCGACTGAAACCCGCGACGAGGCTATTGAAACCCCAGAGCATTCCCCGATGGCTGGGGGATTACGGGCGGAAAAACCAGCCGGGTCAGATTTGATGGCCGTTGGTTGGCCGTTGATGGCTGACCGTTCTATCCACAGCGTTGCCCGCATGAACCGGAGAGCGACCAGTCAATCTCCTCCAAATCCAACATGAGCTGACTCGGGCCCGCATCTGTTATGTTGGTTCAGTGACCCCTTGCTGCGCAAAAAGGCAATGAAGCCGACGTTTGGTCCTCTTGGCGCACAAAAATCTGCATCTTTGAACCAGCATCATATGTAGGCTGACGTATTCGGACTCTCGGCGGTTGATCCCCAGAGTCCGTCATCCTTGGTCTCTCAAGTCTCTAGCCATTGCGAGCTCTTTGGCGGTTTGCCATCATCACCAAATTGGTCAAATGCGCGAGAGAGAAACAAAAACATTGCCGATCTCTTTACCAATGGCCTGGTTCATCCAGGACTGTCAAAGTGTCAAATTCCTGGCAGAACGTGGTTTCCATGTTTTCGCTTAGGCACTAATTTGCGTCTGTTGATAAACAAAAACTCTCGTCTTGTGAAGAGATCTTCATCACTTCGTATCCTATCAGGCATCGACCATCGACCGAACGAGGCAAGACCCTGAGTCCCTGACTCTTGGACGGTTGTCTGAGCCGGTTGGACTCCACATCTCAGGCGAGTGATGCCTGACGCGAGGATAAACCGGGCCCACGTCCAATGTCTCTGAGAGGCACAGGAACAATGAGAGGGATAAATGATAGAGCACAAGAGAGAGACGTCCATCGGGGGAAGGCAACACCGAGTTTGCTGGCTTTCAACTGGCCAGAGACCGGTCGCGCATAATGCATGTTTGTGGTGTTGATGGGATTTGAACGCATGAATCTTTCTCCACCGGGGAATCCGAGCCAATTGTTAAGACTGACATGAACTTGGTGCCAGACCATCGGCTTGACCCTCAACGCCGTTGGTGCGTACCGGTGCCGGCTGTGGGAGGAGGCGGAAAGGAACGGCCAACGGGACGCCATCGCCAAGCGGCAAGGCCATCGCCGGTCCGGAAAATTCTGCATCCTCGGCCCCACACCGAGCCACCAAGTTTTATGAAGTTCGGGTGGAGTCCGAATCCTTGTCCGGAGCCCTAAAGTTGCTCCAAGCTCTTGAGGCAGCCGACGTTGGAGTTTTACTGGAGTCTGGAGATGAGGAGGACGCGGCAGACGCGAATGCGGGAGGACTTGGAGCCTCAGGCGCGAAATGAAAGGTGGACAACTCCAGTCTCCGACAGACAAACGAACCTGTGGCCCTTCGTCGCCTCCGACACGATGGAGCCGACGGCAGACGGTCTGCCCACGAACCACTTAAGATGAGCACGCTGGGGAACCATCATGTGACAGAAGTGGCAAGCTGCCTAAACTGACCTCCAAACTGCATCTGTATGGACGGGCTTTCGTCGGCCCTACAGGCGTTATCTGGATGCGCCAAAAGCCTCACTTCTGCAGTCACTTCTGCGGTCTGCATGTAGAATCGCGGGGCTTGCGGGCGCCGCGCGGGCGGCAATGGCGTGCGCCTGGCTAGGGGCTGTTTCTCTCGCCCAAAACGATGACGTCTGTGGTCGGCCCGTCCCACTTTGTCGGTTTTGAGCCGGGTGGACGACTTGATCGGATTCTTGGTCTCGGGAGGCAATGCGATTGTGGCGTCGGAAGCAGGCCGAGGTGAGCATAGGTGAGCGTTGGCAGATGTCGTTTCCTTGAAAACAGCTCGCTTTTGACTGGTCGTCTTTCAAAGAGCCTCCTGTTTCACCCAGGGATAATTACCACGGAATTTACTCCGGGTGGCAAAGCTGACCGCTCCATTGGTAACAAGTCCTTACGGCGTAGATGATAGGCCTCACCGCAATGATGTCTGGGGGTAATAATGCTCAGTTGCGCGCTTAGATTAAAATCATTTCACCAGGTCTTTTTTCTCATCGAGTATCATTTCAACCTGAGATGTACCACTTGGGCATCAAATAAGAGTGGTCATCGCTGGATAGACACATCAAACCCATAGCTGGCTACTGATGCTCTCACCATTTCGATTGTAGTCAGACATACTCATGTAAGCACCCTGATCGACATATCTACTCGTGGTTCTCCTTTGAAAAAGATTGAAGTCGAGACCATTCGCAGCTCCAACAAAGACGACCCGTCGTTCGGAGCTCCCCGCCTACGGCACGCACCGGCCAAGGTCCCGTTGAATAAAGCTATTGCGGGTCTTCCACACCGACGTCACCGAGTCCTTTTCGGCATCATGGGTCCACGCCTTGGCTCATTGGGTGGGGATTAAAACTTCGACTTCAAGGTCTCGTTGACTGTGAAGGGCCTACGTCACCAAGGAAAAGTCGTAAAGCAGTGACGTGCCAGCATTGTGGTATGGCAGTTGCTCAACTTGATGATTCAATCGAATGCAGCGGTCGTTGCTAATTGTTGATGTGAATTATGCATTGTCAAAATCACAATGAAATTTCTTGCTCATTTTTTGTAAATTTCATTGCAACAGATATTGACCATGAACCTCAAGCAGGATGCCCCACGTCAAAGAAGGTATTTGAGTCTCTGCAATGGCATTTGTTAGTTTCTGGTACTCTCGCACCTCTCGCACGCATCCATTTGTCTCACTCTATGACATTCAAAAATGGTTTTGCTGCTCCGGCAATGAGCCATGTAAACCTCATACCAGCATGAAGACACTAGTTGCGACGCGTAACTCATCAACTGCCTCGAATCCCACTGTGGAAAAGGTAACACATGAACCTTACTAGTCGATGTATGAACATTGAGTGCTATTCTATTTTCGACTCTTCGTATACGTTAGAACAGGTAAAAGCTATGAAATTGCGATACGACGAGGCAATCCTATTGTCCATTGAGGTTGGGAAAGAGAGATAAGACGAATAGTCCGGTTGCAGTGGCGCCCCGTGCGCCATCAGTGACCCGGCACTTTCAAGAAACTCGGGGTGTCTGATGAAAAGCCTAGGGTCGAGTTTGTATCTGTCTAGTCGGGTCTCAATTTGTAAATGATTCGCAACGGCCAAGGCAACACTCGGCACATTGAAAATGTCCGTTGCCTTCGATGTCGGCAGAGGCGCCGGTCTCTCGCTGGAGTCCTCATCAATGGCCCCCATCGCTTGCACGAGATCCATAACCTTAACGTACACCTGCAGAGGAGGTGCGTCGATGACCAAGTCGCTGAGGAGAGTCTCGACAGCGTACATACTGACGACATCGCTGACGACTTGATCGATGCAAGGATTACCCGCATGGTAGCGAACGAGGCAATCACGGATGGAGGGGAAAGGAAGCCAATCAATGACGGCAGGATAGCTGCATGACAGCTGCAGCAGAGTTGGCCGGTACTGCGGGTGGAGCTTGTTGAACGTTTCATCGCAAGGGCGGATTTTCCACACAGTGATGTCTCGGGTATAATAGAACCTCGTTTTAGTATACCAGAGCATGACATCCTGCCGAGAAATAGTGTGAAATATAGATAGAGCCGAGGTAGTGGCTAGATAAAGCCTAAAGCCCGTTAGCTAAGGATCCTAATACGAGATGACATTGCTGACAATGGTAAAGATAACTGCGCCTTGGGTGGCTCTGTCCTGGCTTTGAGCTCGTGTTGTATGAAATCAATGTGGTCAGAGAATGATGAATTTGACTCGACCCAAATCTGGCGCCGCGAGTGGCCCAGGTCCTGGGAAGAAACAAGGGCGTCATTGTAAACTTGAGGCCCCATTTGATATTCGAATGACCAAATGTTTGGTATTTGTTGTGTCATTCCACAGGTGATCATGGGTCCTCCGAGGTCGGATGTAGGTGGGAGGTCAGCCTCGAGGCATGGGTTTGGCTCGTCTGGCTGCGCTGTCTACTCCTAGCCATTTAGTTATGACAAACTTCACGCACATAAATAGCCAACTTCGCAGAACATACCGATGCATCATTTTGGGAAATTGGTCGGAGATCTGCCGACGTGGGCTGATCGTCGACAATGGGTTGAGAAGCAGAGATGTTATCATCAGGGGAGTTTGTTCTAGAGACTTCATCATTTGCGTCTTCATGTCTCGGAGCCGTGTTGAGAACCAGAGCTTGGACGCCGGCGAGTAAGCTGTTGAGCTTGGCGTGCGCTTCCGCGAGTTGCTCCCGGAGAGCTGTATTCTCACGTCTCAATTTAGCCAGAGCTTCGCTCTCGTTTGTGTGATTGTTATCCGCTCGTTCGCGGAGCTCGCGGATCAGGTCATCCCTGCGTCGACGGAATGCCTGTTGCGACAAGCGATTGCGCAGTTTCCTAGGTCGAAGTGTTAGTTTGCAATGGCGCCGAATTTATTCTTTCCGAGAACGAACTTTATGTCCTGAGAGGTTGCGGTGCCGTTCGCCTTCTTGCCCATCGCATCTATACACAGCTTGTCAAAGACCTCAGGTGGGATGGGACGGAAAAGGAGGTAATGTCGAGAATTTCTGCTGGAAACGTATGACTACAGTTCCAATGACTAATTCCCCACACGAAACATTTCTTCCTCCCACCACATGTCCCTTGTCAAAGTTCAACTTAATTACATCTTATTGGCCGTGCTCGAATGCGCTATGCTGCGAGATAGACTTAGTCTTATTTTACTGGGGATCGATGCTTTTTGTTTTCGAAGAAGAAGCCCCAAGCCGGTCTTCGACAGCCATCAATTCCCCCAAGCCAGCCCGCATCTCCGACAGGGAAGCTTCAGACAACATCTTCAAAGGCCGTCGGGGGCTGCCTCCGTAGCCGAACAGGTCGTTCAGCGCGGCTTTTGTACCCGATATGCCTCGCGCGGTATGTTCCCAGTCGCCTTTGGCCAGAATGGCCTGCATCTCTCTCGCTTCCTCCACTAGGCCCTCTTGCCACAAATCGAAAACTTGGACGCAGGTCCGCGGGGTAACGTTTGCACCGCCTGCAATGACACCAGTGGCACCTGCGACAAGAGCAGGAAGGATGAAGTCTGCCAAGCCACCAAAGAGGGCGTAAGACTGGCGGGACTTCATCGCCGTGGAGACGCGACTTAGTTTACCAGTATCACCACAGGTGAACTTCGTTCCCACAACGTTGGGGTGCTGGGAGATGCGACTTAGAAGACCCGAGTCCATCTCGATGCCAGCAGATACGGCAGGAAAGCTATAGAGAATAATCGGAATCGGGGAGTGATCCGCAACGTCGGTAAAGAAACTCTCAATGACTTCAGGGCTCATGCCTTTGCTGAAGTAGGACGGCGGTAGAACAAGGGCGTAGTCACTACCAGCTCGGCTGGCCTCGTTGCACAGATGAACGGTTCCTCGAACGGAGTGTTCGGAGCAGGCGGAAATGATAGGAGTATGCTGCTTTCCGATGCTGTCGAGGGCATTACGGGTTTCACGGATGATAGTGTTCCGCTCCTCGATAGAAAGGTGAGGTGCCTCGCCGTTGGAACCCATGACCACAAAACCAGCGATCCCCGCTTCAGAAAGGCGGATAGTGTGTTGACGCTGAGTTTGCGTATCGATGTTTTCGGTTGTCTTGTCAAAGAAGGACATGCTCGCGGCGAAGATGCCACGAGGCAACGCCCGTGTAGCGCGTTCCATGCTGTAGTCTGTGTAATTCGAAAAACAACGGATGCTGAGAGATGATGAAGAGGAATTCGAACGTCACTCTCTATTGTATAATCGTGACTATTAGTATCATTCATGAGGGTATTCGTAAGCGATGCGAGTATGTCATTGATTGATAACCAAATCTCACCCAGTTTCAGCCAGCACCGCACAATTGACCTCGTCTTCCGCACGTTAGTCATTGCAGCAGTACGTAAGTCCGACTGACGATTATTGTTCTACGAATAATGCTCGCGAAGTGGTCAGCGTTGCCATAGTTCTATGCTATGGGCCGCACCCTCACTTTCAAATTACGTTAGTTATTCGAGCAGTACGTAAGTCCAACGATTGTCATGCTTGCCAAGCACTAGCTCTAGCACCCCGTCCCATACTTTCAATCCCCGTCTAGCTTCAAATATGGTACCCTAACCTAGCTTTATAAACCTGTCACATTAGTTTTCTACTAGTTTGTACGCTGTCAAGTGTCAACTCTGACTCAACGCTTGGCGAATTCATTGTTAACGATGCCTCTCTCAACCCGAGCCAAATCTGGCCAAAATGCAAGCGACGGCTTGCACATATGGAAAGCTGTGGATGACCTCTTTCATCCTACTGCCGACCCTACGGGCTTTGCGACATTAGGCGTCTCGGAGAACACGCTGATGTCCCGAGAGCTATCAGAGCATCTGCACCGGAACTTCAAGCTCCCAAGTCATTCACTCACCTATGGAGATGGCATGACTGGATCCAAGAGGATCAAAGCGGCATTAGCTACATTCCTCAACCGTCACTTGCACCCCTCAAAGCCCCTTGAGTCAGCGCATTTTACAATCACAAACGGCTGCAGCTCTGCGATTGAGCACCTTGCCTGGGCTGTAGCGAACCCCGGCGACGCGTTTTTGCTTGGCCGGCCTTACTACAACACCTTTGTTCCAGATCTTATTCTCAGAACTGGTTGCAAGGTCATTCCGGTGGCCTTTGACAACACCGATCCCATAGACCCTGGGGCAGTTGTTCATTACAAGCGTGCCCTTGAATCAGCAGCCGCAGAGGGCCAGCGAGTCGCAGGTCTCATCATATCGAACCCACATAATCCTCTCGGGAGATGCTACTCTCGCGCCAGCCTCCTCAGCCTTATGAGATTTTGCTCCGAGAACGATATGCACTTCATCAGCGACGAAGTATACGCCTTATCGGTCTGGGAAAACAAAGTGGACCATGAGTCCGAATCAGCGCTTTTCGAATCGTGTCTATCACTCAACACAGACGGCGTACTCGCTCCCGACCGAATCCATACAATCTGGGGTATGTCGAAAGACTTTGGCGCGAACGGACTGCGGATCGGGGCTGTCATCTCCCAGTCAAATCCGGCTCTGCACAAAGCTTTAGTGGCTGTAGCTCTTTATAGCTCCCCATCTTCTGCGTCTGATCATATTGCAGCAAATATCCTCGAAGATGAGAAATGGTCAGACTCTTTCATCCAAGAAAACAGGACCAGGCTTGCTAGGAGGTACCAGCTTATCGTACGCTGGGCGAATAGCTACGGTATTCCCTTTGCACCCGGCACGAACGCGGCGTTCTTCCTATGGGCTGATCTCGGGAGTGTTTGGAAGAGGCACAATCCTGGAACTGTAACCGATAAGGAGCTAGATGATTTCCTGATTAAACTCTTCTTGGACCATAAGGTCTATGTTTCTTCCGGAAAAGACTTCGGGTCTGAGCGTGCTGGATGGTTCCGTATTGTGTTCTCTCAGGACGAGGTTCAGCTACTGACTGGACTGGAAAGGGTCGCTGCTGCTCTCAAGTCTAGAGTAACAGTAAACGTATAGTTTTGACATCGATTGAAAGATTTCACATATTTGCAACGTCACACTGATGGTACATTCGTACTGATCATGCCATACAGGGTGCGCATCATTCCCCTGGTCAAGTAGTCTCTCAAACCTTTTCCGATCCCAGTCGCGCCCCTCGCCGTCGCCAGGCCAGCCGCCTTCTTCATCTTCCTGGCCGTCTTGTTGTGGCTAAAGTCATCTTCGGGGTCCGAATCAGAGCCAGGCTCGTACTCATACTCCCAGTTCATGTTTCTTATCACTGACATTTCCGACGGCAAGAGGCCGATCCAGCATCGTGGGTCCACGCTTTGACTCCTTGAGTGGGGATCAAAATTTCTCCTCCATGGCTTCGTTGATGGTTAAATAATCAGTCTGAAACTACGTCACCAAGTAGTCGTTAAGCAGCGTGTTGCCAATTTGGCCGAACGGTGTTTACTCAACACAGTGACTCAATTGAATTCAGGGACTACTGCTAATTCCAGAATGTGAATCATGCAGTATCCAAAAGACCCACGGAAAGATCGAGAGACTACGAAAACTATTGAGGTCCCTTATTCATCTCCAACGACTTCTATGAAACTAGACTTCTTTCCTTTCTAGATCATCAACCTTCAGTCATATCACCCCAGCTAAAGGAGAGATCTGAGTTTCTGTAAAATCAGGTGTTAGTCCACAAAGCTCTCGAGCGTCTTGGTCTGATCTGGATTAAATGAACCTGAAGACTGCCCAGTTTATCGTCTAATCGTCCACCGTCATGTGGTGATAGTAAGATACCAGCTAACTGCTTCTTTGTGTCCTGAACCTCCATTACTTGCTTTGTCAATGGTTAGCCCCATAGGAAAAGACACCCCACTCTGTCACGAAACTTACCTTTTCGAATGAGTCTCGCATGTACAATCTTACTGTAGTCACCTCCCGAGTCTGTCCTATTCGATGCACGCGGGCAAGTGCTTGTTCCTCGATGTTGGGGTTCCTTGAGGCTTGTGAGTGTTGCATTATGGAAATTGTCATGAGAGGATACTCACCAATGTGGTTCCATCAAATAGGCTCTCGAGGCTTCGGTAAGCGTCAGACTAATACGCCAATTAGTATTTGATCATACTAACACACATCGGTAGCTCACCCAACTGCACCGCAAGACAATGTCAACAGCATGACTGAAACAGTCGGATCTGACCGAAATGCCTCGACTACCGCCTGCCTTTCTTTTTGAGGGACTTTCCCATCGAATCGCATACTTTGTATCCCAGCCTCTTGCAAAGCCTTCTGCACAACGTCGAGGGTCAGCCTCCGGGAGGAGAACACAATGCTTTCGGCAGTCAGCTCATGTTTGAAACATAAAATCGGTGAAGACAAACCTTTTGACGCCGGGCGCCAGGCTTTTGATATCTGAAACAAGAGCTTTAACTTTCGAGGAAACGACAATTGGTACTGGTGAGCCTGTCTCGGAAGGTGCTACGTGCGCAATATTTTCAAGGGTGTTGCTGCTGAGGGATACGGGAGCCATTGAACACGTCGGGTCATGATCGCAAGCTAATCTCTGGCGGGCCTCCCTGTGAGCTTTGGAGCACTCGCCGCACACAAACTTCAAGCACTGGAATAGTTAAGGGAGGTGAGCGGTGGTCTCGGAGCCGTCCAGCATCGTCTCGGTCAGTTCTAGAATGGATGAGCAACACAAGCATATCATTGCGCCCCTCTGCCTTTCCATATCAAAACACTGCTGGGCAATGTCGCTCCAGGAAGGTTCGTCGATTTTGCGCTTCTGGTGCCTTGTCTGGTACCCAAGGCCTAAGTTGCAAAATAGTCGGAGTGACTCAATTCGCTGCAAAGCATTGACATAGTAAGTACCGGTTTTAGCTATCTCCGGGGCTGAGTCTCTCTTTATGGCGGTTTCAATACTCTGAAGAGCTTGTTGTCGCATTTGGTCGTAAATTTCCCTTTCCTCTTTCGTGAAATCGACAGCACAGAGCTTGTCATGTCGTGGAGGGAGATTGATAGTCGTCTTTGGTCTTCTGAGAAGCAGGCAGGAAGAGAAATATTGAAGCCTTTGAACCGCTTTTTCATCCTCACCTGACTTCCAAAGTCGGGAAAGGTTTGCGTCAAATTGTTTCGTATCCGTGTACGGATGTACACGAATAAATTTCATCAGAGTGGCCAAATCCCCAAGCTTATTCTGAATCGGCGTCCCCGTCACCGCCCATCTAGAGTGAGCGTCAAGAGCACATACAGCTTGCGCCATTCGAGAATCTTCGTTCCTGATATAATGGGCTGCGTCTTTTAGCAAGGCTCGGCGCGGCGGGTACATGGTTATACCTTCGTCAAGGATGATCCGTCGCCAACGAACGCTGAATAGCACCGAGCTGTCGGTACTCATTCCAGTTTTCCACTCAGCCGAGACAGTGTGATATGTTGTCAAGACAACCCTTACACTGCCGAAACTACTCGACTTGGTAAACTTCGTCTTCCCGTGGTGACATCGATAGTTGAGCTGGCCCGTCTTCACATGACTAACATTATTTTAGTGCTTGAGATTTCATGAAGTTGCAAGTGTATCTACCCGATCAGCTGCTCTTCCCACGAACCTAATACTAAGTTGAAGCTGTTATTAGTGGCAGAAACATGATAAGTCTCGTCATGTAGAACTTACGTGGCGGAGGAACGATTATCAGCGTCGCTAGAGCAAATGGCCCCTCTATCTCGTTCATCATCAAGGCCATGGTATTAGATTCCTTCTCAAAGTCGGATGCAGCCAGTGCAATCATTGTGAGAGTTTTCCCTAGGCCCATTGGGTCTTCTACGATTCCACCGTAAAATTGAGGCGGTTCTTCCTTCTGACGTGTCTGTGACACCATGTTGACAAAACTGTGAAGCAAAGCATTAGTACTCTAAACGTTGAATTGTTTGAGATGGAGAAGACTACAGTCTTTGCTCGTCTGTGTCCTGAATCGTCCATATGTCTGGCTGTCCATCATTCAATCCCCAACCTTTCTCTCGACGGTACATGAATGTCAGGGCCTGCTTTTGATGTCTGTTCAAAATGAGTGACCGTTCCGTACAAACGCATTTATTCGTGCAAATAGAATCAAAAAGTACCTTTGAAGTTGCGACTTGATAGCTCTAGGTTGTTGAGCTTCTTCCAATTCTTGGCGACTGCTGAAAACATCCAGCATTTCGATGCCACCTTGCACGTCTTGGAAATGGATTTGGCTAGAAGACTGTTCGACGACTTCTGCTACCATGGGACAGGTGTCGAGATTATTAGACGATAGTTTATGCGGGTTGTAGTATCTAGTGTTCCAGTGACACTCTAGAGGGTCTTGGAGATACATCTCGCATTGCTGAAACCAGTCTCCTCACTCCTTAGCATCCTCCACATAACCGTAGATGGTGATGTCTAGTCTGCATCGCACCTGGGCGAACCTTTTTTCAGGTTTGGGAGTAACGTCCAAATCGTCAATTGAGCACATGGTGTAAAGTGTCAGTTCTTCTTGATCGAGGAGAGATTGAATAATTTGACGTTGGTGCGCGTTGAGAGATAATGTCCCGCTTACTGGGGTACTTGGGGAATCGAAGGAGCTGTCAGGGCCGATGTCCACCGGGAATGGGGACTTAATTGAGGCAACCTTTCTTTGGTCGCATGTTCCCGCCACTGAAGATATCTGTAGGACGTCAGCTTGATTGACAGCACCTCACCCATCTATTATTGAGTTGCCAAACTTACTGCACCGAAGCATACAGTGACCATATCCTCCGACGCATCACATGTTTGAACAATTGGAGACCTTGGGCCATTCGTCGCGGCCATTTGCTGTCCGTTCACCAGATCCGTATAGCCAGTAATCTGGGAAATTACCGGGAATTGAGCGCCAAACTGGTATGCTTGCATGCCTGCCGTTGTGAGGAAATTAGAAGCTGGAACACAGGGGTGGAAGCTAGCTCCATGTTCGAGGAAGCTGTGATTAGGATGTTGTGTGTTTGGCTCTGATATTGGAAATCTAGCTGTGATAGATTGGGATGCAGGACCGTAATGATGACCGTCTGGGATTTGTGGATACACATTCGTGCTTTGGTACGCAAGTGTTGTGCATCTCTCGAGTGGTTCGTTATATGCCACAAAATGAGGCATGGCTGAAGTGGAAGTCAACATCTGGCTGGCAGAGTGCGATTGAGGTGGATGCACGGAGCTTGACGAAATAGTGTATGGAGGTGTTGCTTGGAAGTTCATTTGCATCCCAAAAGGTGCTTGCTGAGGGATGTACAAGGGAACACTGTATCCATCGTACTGCTCAATAGGTGGACTCTGCTGGGTCGGCTGTGACAATATCCTGCGTCTCTTCTCTCGTTGCCGAGAAGACGGGTCACGGCGATCCATTCTGTGGCAAAGTAGCAGTGTTAACCCTTTCGATTGTTCGAGATCTCGCAGCGATCCATGAGCTGTTCAATGAACGTAAAGTAAGGTGCTCTAGACAAGCTAAATCAGATTGAGTGAAATTATACCTTTACCAAGCTTGCAAGGATGACAATGTAGCGGTAAAGAAAGACGTGAAATAAGGAACGGCCAACAATTTTCTTTTTCAAAAAAAAGTGCTCAGATGTTGGAGTTTTTCTGCTTTCTGCAATACTCCACGACACCAATCGCCGCAGCAGTGCGAACGAAGGCGGACGATCGAGGGAAAAGAAAATGCCTTATGGGGTTACACCTACTTACAGGCTTCGCCCCTCCTGCATGCAACGTGGTTCCTGTCGTAGGGCCTCAGTAAAAAGCCCACACATCTTGGCACAGAGCTGTCGTTGCCGACGCGACAAGGTTAGGCCATCTCATTGGCTGCTTCCAGCCGCGGAGGCTGTACGAGACACCCTTTGTCAGAGTCTGCTTGGGTCAGCCACACATTGTGTCTCGTGCAGTCTGCCTTGTTGCCTAGTATCTGTACCAGATTACCGCCCAACGCCTAGTGAATCGAGGGAATTATTGGACTGAAGGAGGAGCCCGAATTGTGACTGATGCCTCAAAAGCAGTGTTCTCCCGCTCTGGCATGCTATAGAGCCGTAGTAGTTTACATGATTTTCGTGCATTCAGTGGAACCTGTGTTAATACATCTAATTTTGAGCCCGCAAGCTTCCAATTACGATGCCACCCAGGCCACCTCTTCCAGGTGCATTCACCGCGATACAGAAGATGGACGAGGCATTGGAAGACCTCAAAAAGACGATGAATGCGCAAGACATGCGTGATATTGAGCAAACAAGT